CAGTACTGTGACTGGGGATGGTGGCACACGCCTGTCATCCCAGAACTCGGGAGACTGAGCAGGAGAATTGCTCAGTCTGAGGTCGTGGCCAGCTTGGGCTCCATAATGAGTTCAAGGCCAGCCCGAACTACAAAGTGAAGAAAAAGTGATGAAATTTTTACTCCAAAGTATATAATATATTACTTCAAAAACTGGATTTGGGGACCGGGGATTTAGCTCAGTGGTGCTGCTGCCTGCCTTGCAAGCACAAGGTCCTGATTTTGATCCCCAGAACCAAAAAAACCCCAGAAAATGGATTTGGGTTTTTTTTGGGTTTTTTTGGTACTGGGATCGAACTCGGGTCCTTGCGGTTGCGAGGCAGGCGTCTAAACCACTGAGGTAAATCCCAGCCCTGGGTTTTTTTGTTGTTGGATATTGGCAGTGTATCATAGGAAGTAGGACTTATAAGTACTTCTTTTTTTTTGGTACCAGGGATCAAACTTGGATCCTTGCACTTGCACAGCAGGTGGCGAAACCACTGAGCTAAATCCCCAGCTGCTAAACTTTTTTATAATTTTTTTTGGTGTGTGTGTGCTGGGTATCCAACCCAGGGCTTTTACACATGTACCTTATTACTGTGCTGTATCTCCAGCCTTTAACTAGTAAATTATAAAAATTTTAAAATTTTATTTATTTTAAAATAATTTTTTTAAAATTTCTTTATTTTTTGGTACCGCGGATCAAACTCGGGACTTTGTGCTTGCGCAGCAGGCTCCAGAACCACTGAGCTAAATCCCCGGCACCAATAAATTTTTTGAAAAAGTATTTTGTTTGTTTTTTTGCTTGTCTGTCTATCTTTTGGTGGCCTTGAACTCATAGCTCACTGTGTGGCCCAGGCTGGCCTTGAACTCCTGATTTTCCTGTCTCAGCCAAGCCTGGCTCAGTACTGGAGATTGAACCGAAGTCTTTGCACTGAGCTAATATCTCCAGTCCTTTTTATTTTTTATTTTGAGGCTGAGTCTTGCTAAGTCCTTGGGTTGCATTTGAACTTGAGATCCTCCTGCCTCAGCTTCCCAGAGTGCTAGGATTACAAGAACATGCCACCATGCCTGACTGGCTAGTCCAGTGTCCTTAAAGTGCAGTTTCCCAGAACAGTAGTGCCACCTGGGCCTTGTTTGAAATGTGAAGTTCTGGGCCTAACTTATTGAATTGAGAGACCAGTTGAGTTAGAAACTGAGCGTGGGGCTTAGACTCATGGCTTGGTTGCATGCTAAAATCTGAGAGCCATACTTCCTGCCATATGCAACCTCCTGTCTGTCTTGTTCCTCTATTCTACCCCTTTTTTATTTTATTTTATTTTTTGAGACAGGGATGCACTATGTATTAGGCTGGCCTTGAACTCACTGTGTTGCACACGCTGACCTCAAATTTGCAGTGATGCTCCTGCCTCAGCCTCCCAAGTGCTGGAGTTATAGGCAGGTACTACCATGCCCAGCCCTACTCATCCCTTTTTGAGTGAAGAGGAATTGTGCTGGACTGCATATATAATATATGATGTTAGTGGGTTGTTGCAGGGCTGTAATTCCTCACTCTTGGAGGCTGAGGCAGGAGCATTGAAAGTTGGAGCCCAGCAGAGCAGCTTAGTGACTTGTAAGGCCCTGTCTGAAAATGCAAATTGGCTAGGGATGTACCTCAGTGCAAAGGTCCTGGGCTCTAGCCCCTGTACTGCAATAATAAATGAACAAATGAGTGAATAGCTGTGGATGTAGTTTAGTGCAAAGGCCCTGGCTTCAATCCTCAGTAACACACACAAATATTCAAATGCATACATGTCTGCACACATACATACATACGTGTATGTATACATGTATGTAAGTAGCAAAATTTTATTTAAAAGTATTTTTTATTATAACATTTAAAAGTGGGCCCCAAGAGGGGCAGGCCACAGGTTGGACACACCTGTGAAAGAATTGCCTTTTTTTTTTTTTCTATGCTTGATTATATGAAACTTGTCTCCACGGTTTGATTCCTACTTGCCATAAATGTGCTGTTATGCTCTGTGTCTGGCTGTCCCTCCACAGCTCATGCGGTTGTAGGTGAGGCTTTTTCAGAGCTGGCTAGATCTGGAGTGTATGATGCTGGGTTTAAAGGTGTGTGATTACTAAATCAGTCCACTGATTGGTTTGGCATAGTTCTGGGTGTCAGTGCTGCCCACCCTAAGGGCAGAAGCTAGGGTAGCCTAGATAGAAGATAAAATTGACAGAAACTGCTGTCGTTGCTTGTAGCTTGGTACCAGCTGCCTTCTGTCTGCCACAAACTGTTTCTCCTCTCCCATGCCAGCCTGCATTGGAGCCAGGCCACTGCAAACTGATTTTTTTTCTCCCAGTACCAGGAATCAAACTCAGGACCTTGTGCTTGCCAGGCAGGCACAGGTGAACTGAAACCTCTACAAACTGAGCCCAAAATCAACCTTCTTCCTTTAACTTTGAGTGTTGATTATTTTGTTTCGGCAATGAGGAAAAGTGATACATGTGGCAGGTTGTGGCCATATAGAAAGAAGTATGTTTACAGAACATTCTTCAGATAGTAAAGGGACAGGGCCGGGAATTTAGCTCAGTGGTTCAGGCTCCTGCCTTGCAAGCGCAAGGTCCCGAGTTTGATCCCTGGTACAAAAAAAACAAGCACAGATAGTAAAGGGACCCTTTAAAGGGGTAAAACAGAGGCCCAGAACAAGGAGGGGTTGAAAAAGAAGCAGCAAGATTTATCACGTACAGGTGCAAATTCCCTATGGTGAGTGTTGTTATGTATATCCATAATGTGCCAAAAAACGTTTTGGTTAAAAAATAAAACAAGGACAGGTAAAGTTTTTCCTTACAGAGACAGATGAATGCTTTAGGGTTTGGAGCCATGCAGTCTGACTCGAAATGCTTAGCTCTGTAGTTTTTGTGAAGGTTGCTTTAGAGTATATGTAAATGAATGTGTTGTTTCAGTGAAATTTAAGGAAATTGAAATTTGTGCTGGGAGTGGTAGTGCACGCCTGTAATCTCAGGACTCCTGAGGCTCAGGCAGGAGGATCCCTGTGAGTTCAAGGCCAGCCTGGGCTACATAGTGAGACCCTACCCCCCCCCCCCATAGAAAAATTTATATTTTGATTTTTTTGGGGGGCGTAATTTGGGGACTTGAACCCAGGGCCTTGGGCAAGTGATTTACAACTGAGCCCTAACCCTGAAATTTGAATTTAATACTTCTCATGTGTCACAAAATGTTAATTTTTCTCCCACCCTTTCAAAAATGTAAAAACTCCTTAGATTGTGGGTCAGATGGAACCAGGCTCTTGGTTAGATTTCACTGACCTGCTGTGTAAAATAAAATGATTCAAGTAAACACCGGTCCGCAGCAGTTCACTTGCACGCTGGCTGTTTCATGTATAGTAGAAAGCTCATGCATCTCAAGGAGTACAAATGGTAGGGGACCCTACTTGTTAAGAATGATTGCCCCGGGGCTGGGGATTTAGCTCAGTGGTTCCGGCCCCTGACTCGCAAGTGCAAAGTCCCGAGTTCGATCCCTGGTACCAAAAAAAATATATAGTGTGTCCTTACCCAACTAACCACATTTGACATTACATGACTTCTGACTCTTTTCCATAATTCTTCTTCCCTCCACAAGAGGAAAACATTTTGTATCTTTTTTTCTTTTCTTTTTTTTGAGACAGGGTTTCTCTATGTAGTTGAGGCTGGCCTTGAACTCACTGTGTAGTCTAAGCTGGGCACGAACTGGTGATCCTCCTGCCTCAGCCTCCCACATGCTGGGATTATAGTCATGTACCACCATGCCTGGCCAAAAGGGGAACATTTTCAGTTGATTCAGGACATTGAGGGAATCAGGACAGGACAACTAAAGACACTCAGCAAAGAGGACTTGTAGAGCTGTTTCGCAAAGTGGCAAGAAGGCCAGACATGGTGGCGCATGCCTGTAATCCCAGCACTTGGGAGGCTGAGGCAGGAGGATGGCCTCGAGTTCAAGGCCAGCCTGAACTATGTAGCGAGACCCTGTCTCAAAACAAAAGAAAGTGGCAATAAGGATGGGATAAGTGTGTTCAAAGCAAGGGGAGTATTTTGAGAGGAATTAATGGTAAGTCTTTTATTGTATTAAATTGTTTTGATTTAAATATTGACTGGAACTTTTGATCATATGTTGTACATTCCTAGCTCTTTTTTTATTTTGAGGAAGGGTCTTGCTGAGTTGCCTGGGCTGTCGCAGGCCTCCTGTCTCCACCATGGATTATAGGGATGCACTACCAAACCTGGTCTGTATTTGTTGTTCTTATTGTTATTACTGTTGTTAGTTTGTGGGACTGGGGATTGAACCTAGCATCTTTGCGCTGAACTATACTCTTTCTTTTTTTATTTTGTATTTTGAAATAGTTTCACTAAGTCATAAGTTGTCTAGTCTAGATGTGAATTCGCAGTCTTCCTGTCTCAGCCTTCCAGAGTGTTGGGATTGCAGGCATGCCTCAACTTTCCCTGACTCATGATGATGATGATGATGGATGATGATGATGATGATGATGATGATGATGATGATGATGATGATGATGATGCTGATGATGATGATGATGATGATGATGCTGCTGATGATGCTGATGATGATGATGATGATGATGATGCTGATGATGCTGATGATGCTGATGCTGATGATGATGATGCTGATGATGATGATGATGATGATGATGATGATGATGATGATGATGATGATGATGGATCATTTTTGGTAGCGGGGATCAAACTTGGGACCTTGTGCTTTCCAGGCAGGCGGCAGCACCATTGAGCTAAATCCCCCTCATCTTGATTATTTTTATGTGTACATACACACATCCCTGTTTTTCTAACTTCTTTACAGCAAAGAACATGTCTCAGACAGTGTAATTTGCCACAGTGCCCGCATTTGGTAGGCATGGGGAGGTGAGCCCACTTCCTCCCTGCAGCAGTCACAGAGTTGCTGAGCCCTGTCTTGTCTTGCAGTGTGTTCACGCTGATGCGCCTACCAATAAGACGCTGGCTGGACTGGTGGTGCAGCTTCTCCAGTTCCAGGAAGATGCCTTTGGGAAGCATGTCACCAACCCAGCCTTCACCAAGCTGCCTGTGAGTAAATCCCTCGTTACAGGGGTCTTCACTTCCATACCTGGCATTGAGGCTGGTGGCCTGGCGGGCTGAAGGGAGGCCTGGTCAGGCGAGGTTCCCAAAGAAAAGAGCAGGCATGGTAGGTAGGGCTGGGGATGTGGCTCACTGGCGCCTGTGCCTGTCTCGCAAGTGCAATGTCCTGAGTTCAACCCTGGCACCAAAAAAAAAAAAAAAAAAAAAATTCATGGAGCAGACATTACAGTAAAGCAGGAACCAAACTTATTTCCCAGCATAGCACTTAGAGGAGTTTTTTTTCTCAGCTCTACTGAGACATAGTAAGACAGCACTTACATTCTGGGCGACCTTGCAGGCCGTGTGGTGCATGCATGCTTCTCTGTGCTGATGGTTACATAAGGACGTCTATCGTACGCCTATCCTGACCAACAGGATTGTGTGCTCAGGATCCCTCAGACGCTGGGCTTAGACATCTGTCTCACAGCGGACCCCACACTCGGCCACTGACAGCCTGTGGAATTAGAAAAAAGAAAATGAGGCGTTCACTATGGAATTTCAGCAACAGAATTTTACTGCTTTGTAATTGTACGAAGCTGCTTTTCATGAATCATTGAAGATCAGCGTTAAATGCTGCAGTAATCATTAGGAAAACAACGTGTTGTACTGGTCTTAGCTTTTTCTGCTTTGCAGTGCTGGTTATCGAACCCAGGGCCTTGAGCAAGTGCGACAAGCAGGCTGCCACTGAGCTGTTCTCCCAGGCCCTTTTCTTGATGTTTGCAATTCTGTGTCTAGTTGTGATAATTTATAATTTGAAGACGCCAGTTATATATCTTTCTTTCATTTTTTTGGTGCTGGGTGGGGATTGAACCCCATGGTCTTACTTGCTAAAGTCAGTTATGTTTCTTTAAATCAAGGAACACAGTCTGTTACTCTTCTCTGCTATTTTATACTTCCTTATATTTAAGCTCTGATTATGCAGATACTAGAGGTTTTTTTGTTTGTTTGATTTTGTTTATTTTGGTACTGGGGATCGAACTTGGGTCCTTGCGCTTGTGCAGCAGGTGGCAAAACCACTGAGCTAAATCCCCAGCCCAAAATACTAGAGTTTTAAGGTAGAGTTTTATAATTTCTGTCATATCTTGTCCCATAATTTTTGTCTTCCATTTCACTTGTTTGGGGTTTTGTGGTTTCTTATGTCATGTTCTCTGCTTTTGTTGAAAATATCAATAGGTGTTTTTTGCTTCCCTCAATATTCTCAATCACTAACATTTTATTTATTTGCTTTATCCTTCTCTTTTGTGTGTATAAATTTATTATTTTCTGAATCACCTGAAAGCTCCATATTTATCTTCATTTCTTGTTCTTTTACATATGAACTGGATTAGATTATATTAAGAACTTGCTGAGGGTTATATTTGCTTAAAATAATGTAATATATTGATTGAACACTATCAAGTTCAACAATAATGTAGAGTAAAGTTTATACATGGGGCCGGGGATTTAGTTTAGTGGTTCTGACACCTGCCCTGCAAGTGCAAGGACCTGAGTTCGATCCCTGGCATAAAAAAAAAAATTAATACATAACATATACTTTATATGAATCAAATTATTTTGGTAGTATGAATGAAGAACATACATGTGAGGGCCCAGGATGTAGCTCAGTGGTACCGCGCCTGCCTCACAACTGCAAGGTCCTTAGTTCCATCCCTGGTACCAAAAAACAACATACTTATGTCTTCCAAATGGTATTTATAGAGGGGATTTGTTTTTTTTTTTTTTTTTTGATACCAGGGATTGAACACGGGTCCTTGCGCTTGCACAGCAGGCAGCGAAACCACTGAGCTAAATCCCTGGCCCTATAGAGGGGATTTTGTTTGTTCTGAGACACGGTCTCACAGTGTAGTCCAGGCTGGCCTTGAACTCCATCCCTTCTGCCTCTTCCTCCCTGTGTGTGCCACCATGCCTGCTGGACTAACAGGGCTTTATTTGTTGTATATTTAACTCCCGGGAGCTAAGCCATTGTTTACTTCCAGATTTTAAAGATTAGGGAAGAATATTTTTAGGGATAAGACATAATTAAAAGTAATTCATGGGGCCTGGGATTTAGCTCAGTGGTACTGCGCCTGCCTTGCAAATGCAAGGTCGTGAGTTTGATACCTGGTACCAAAAGAAGAAAAAAAGTAATTCATGGCTTCATGCCAGTGAGACCACATGTTCTTTTCCCTCAAAGTAGTGTTCATCATTTTCCAAATGAAAGGGATCAATGTGATGTGAAATAGTGTTAAAATGGATGAGGGAAACAGTTAACAAAGCTAAGATTGTTTTAGTGAAACACAGAAGCTGTTTGCCTGAAAAGTTTTTTTCCCTGAATACACACTGAAAGTGTTAAGAGATTTTTTTTTTCTTTTAACAATAAATGTGGAACTTTATATGCTGAATTCCACAGTCATATTTGACTCACAATGTACTATAAAATTCTAATTGAGAAGTTAGACTTGGAAAGAAAAAGGGATTTCATAAGGTTAAAAATATATTCCAATAAATAAATAAAAATATATTGCATAGGTTAACATATTACTAATTGAAGCAGAAAAAATATTTTAACCCTTCAAGTAAAAATTCTGGCTGAGTCTGCTGGCCAGTGCATGTAATCCCAGCCTATGAGAGGCAGGATAGCCGTTGGAGGCCAGTCTGGGCTACATAGATAAAGGCCAGCCTGAACAACATGAGACCCTGTCTCAAGTCCCTCCCACCCCCCTAAATTTCTAATTTTTCCATCATGTCTTCAAGGCTTTAGAAAATGTGTACATAATGGAAACATAATTGTAGTAATAGTATAGAACAATTTTTTTGTTCTGCCGTTTTTGGGGGCGGTGGTGCTACTGAGACTGAACCCAGGGTTTTTCTGTGGAGCTATGTTTCCAGCTTTTTTATTTGTTGGTTGAAATTTTGAGACACTAAGTTGCCCAGACTGGGCTCAGACTTGTCATCCTTTTGTCTCAGCCTTGCCAGTGCTAGGATTACAGATATGTATCTCTACGCCCAGATTCTGTTTTGCCTTTATAACATGAAAAAAGTCTTAACTAGTGAGAAATATATATGTAAGCCTGTTTTGAAAATCCTGTGAAAATTTCTCATGTAGTGGAGACCTGTGGGAATAATTAATACGAAAAGCTTGATGTCAATATTTCTCTATAAAATTTCCAGAAAATAAAATCCCAGAGATAGACTAAAGTGCATACATATATTGCTTTTTCAGTAAATCACTTAAATATCTGGATTATGTATCTGCAGTTTTTAATATAAAAATATTGAGATGATATAATTAGGTGTTTTTCTGTATCTTTGAGCTTACCATGTAGTGTATTCTTTTTTTTCTTTTTTCTTTTTTGGTACCAGGGATTGAATTTAGGACCTTGTGCTAATAGGCAGGTACGGTGTCATTGAGCTAAATCCCCCGCCCCATAGTGTCTTCTAATTAAGCATGGTGAATTGAAATGTATTTTTTACTTTCAAATAGAGTTAGTATTTTTGTAGTTTTTGTTTAGTCTTTACAACTGGGAGGTATAGGCCACTAAAAAACTTAATTTTGTTAATAGATTTGTTAATTGTTAGGATTTTGCCACTAACTTGGCTTTAAATTTTTGGTGTATAGTCTGTATTCTGTGTAACAAAAGATATTTTTATTTATTTATTTATTTATTGGTACTGGGGATTGAACTTGGGTCCTTGCGCTTGCGCAGCAGGAGGCGGAAGCACTGAGCTAAATCTCCGGCCCAACAAAAGATATTTTTGAAGCTGATGCCATGTTTTATATTAAGATATATGTTTCCAGGGCCAGGGGATTTAGCTCAGTGGTTCCGCTGCCTGCCTTGCAAGCACAAGGACCTGAGTTCGATCCCCGGTACCCCCCCCAAAAAAAAAAAAAAGATATATGTTTCCAGAGACTTGTGAACATATTTTTGACAAAGTTGATTTATTTTCACATAACTTGATTAGCACATTGTGTTTCTCATATCATGACAAGATACTTGCTTATAGCTCAACATTGTATATTATATAATGTATATAATTTGCCTATTTTTCTTTTATATTAGAGCCAATATTATCATTTACATAATTTTTTAATCCTTTTATCGGTACATTTTAGGTGTACAATACTGTTTTTCTTTTTTTGATACCGGAGATTGAACGCGGTCTCAAAATAAATACGCCTATAGATAAAATGAATTACTGTAGAGGCAGAGTTAAATCTTTGAAAAATCTAGTTTGAGTCTTGTCTTATAGTTACTTGCCAGGACAGTAGGTGTAGACAGTGGAGCAGAACCACTGAAAGCTGAGTGCTGCAGACTGGGCTGCTGTTCTGGAGGCCTGCACTGCTTACTCGGGGCCGAGGGGTTGCTGTCCCCACGCTGGCCAGGGCTCCAGAAGATGGAGCTGTATTCGTGGCAGGGCTGTAGTCTCTGCCTGTACCATGTGGATTCGAGGAGAAACCTGAGTTTTTACCAGCATTGTTGCTCTGATTTGTCTGAGTGTTTTATGAGCTTATTTTTTTCACCTTCTCTCTTTTCTCATAATATTTTCCCCTCCACGTTCATGGTGTGTGATCGATGTACACATTCAACATGAGTTCAAGGCAGTGAACGTGTCCATTCCCCCACGATTCCTTATATTCCCTCATAATCGCACTTTCTCTTCTCCATCCTTCTCCTGTTGCAAACACAGAGACTGTAGATTCCCTAGCATTTTTAAGAAATGCATGTGGATGAAATCACACTGTACATATTCTTAGCTTGGTGTTTTTCATTCATTGGTGGAGTTTGATTTTGAGATAAGTCTGTGCTGCTCTGTTTATAAACAGTTTGCTTCCTTCTTGGTTTTTTTTTATTTTTTTTTTGGTACTGGGGATCGAACTCGGGACCTTGCACTTACGAGGCAGGGGGCAGAACCACTGAGCTAAATCTCCAGCCAGTTTGCTTCTTTTTATTGTTGATTCTTTCATATGG